ATACAATATAGACTATTATACTATTGCATAATACGTATTGAAAGTCTTTTTTATTTTGTTGCCTGATATATAGATATTGTATCCATATACGAATTGTATCGCTCTCTACTACCAAACCAAATCCCATTTTCCGTCCTGAGAAAAAGCTGGTAATGGTATATATCATAAAAATATAAGAGCTTCCGATAGATGGCGGTATAGCCGTTTAGTTTACGACAAACGTAAAATATACAGACCGGCAGCGATAAGCAGCGTAAAAAGTGCGAAACGTCTGATACGTGGAGTACACTGGAAGTTTTGCGTAACTCCATATAATATAAACTATTAAGTTTACTGATTTTCAAAATACTCCCCCTTAATAAAAAAAAAATATATATATATATATATATATATATATATATATATATATATATATATATATATATATATAGTCACCATACGAAATACAGCAGCGTAAGTTGTTATGTTACGCTGGTATCCATTATACACACAAATAGTAGTGTGATAAAAATAAATAATATTTTTTATGATTTTTAGCTATAAGGGGCCTATACTACCGCAGTTCAAATTCTAATTTCGTCCCCACTTCTCCGCGCGTCGCATGCTACTATATACTAATACTGCAAGTAGATAGGTTGTTAGATAGTTATTTCATTAGGTTTATTATATTTTTGCCTATTTCTTTACGCCAACCCAACTTCTTATTTTTATTACTGTTATTTCCCATTTTAATTTAACGTCGTGCTGTTGCGTAATGTGTACTCTGATCTTTCCTATTACTATATACGTATACTGATCGTCAGATTTTACGTTCGAAAGTCTTCGCTAAGACTGATCGGGTGGCAGGGAACAAGCTTCTAGACGCCGAAATTTTAGATAATTTTTTTAACAGTGAAAATAATTTACAGTTAGATCAGTTAGTATGCAAAGTTTAATGATCTAATTTAAAGTATTTTATGAAAACTAGCGGTTTATTGTTCAGTTTGGAGGTAACACAGTATGGCTCAAGGTGTATAGAAAAAAGACCCATACAGATAGATATTTAAACGGTGATTCTCACCACCATCCTTCACAGTTAGCTACCGTGGGTAAAACTTTGTTTCAGAGAGCACGAGGGATCTGTGACAGTAAACACCTGGCTGCCGAGCTCCAACATGTCAAACAAGTTTTGCATGACAACAAGCTTCGGGTCCCGCGCCTACGTCACAGAGAACGAGTGAAGCCGGCCACAGTCGAGCGTGTACCTGCTGTACTGCCATATGTTAGAGGAGTCACTGACAAGATTGGCTACATCTTGAAGCGCGCTTCCATCAAAACATACTTCAAGCCGCCGAAGAAGATTGGTCAGTTTTTACCATCAGTCAAGTGTAACGTCCCTCTGCAAGATGCAGGAGTGTACAAGCTTGATTGTGAATGTGGTCTCTCCTACATAGGACAAACTAAAAGATAAATTAAAACCCGCGTCAAAGAACATATAGCTGATGTGAAGAATCGACGCTCCGGGAAGTCTGCAGTCTGTGAACATGTACAGGATCGCCCCCGTCACTATATCAGATTTGATAGACCACAAATCCTCGCTAAAGAACACCGATTCCTTCCAAGGATGATTCGCGAGGCTATTGAAATCAAAAAACATCCTAATTTCAATAGAGAAGATGGCTGGGTGCTACCATCTGCTTGGGATCCTATAATAAATAAAATTAAATCCCAACCCAAGCATACAACTGCAAGACTTCAAGATACCATAAGTTCATACTGCATAGATCGGAACAAAAGTTAAATTTTAATCTATGGTAACCGCGGTTAACTATGACATCTGATGATGATGATCTAAAAGATACTGACGTCCCAATGTCAGTGTTGACCCGGCGTACTTTCAGATTTTTAATTATTATTTATGGTTCGATCTACGCAGAATGAATTTATCGTGTCTTGAAGTCTTGCATTGATATGTTTGAGTTAAATTTTAATTTTATTAATTACAGGGTCCCAAACAGGTGGTAGTACCCAGCATCCTTCTCTATTGAAATGAGGAGGTTTTTTTAATTTTAATAGCCTCACGTACCATCCTTCGTAAAAATCGATGTTCTTTCACGAGAATTTATGGTCTATCAAATCTATGTAATGGTTGGGATCGTCTAGTCCGTCACAAACTGCAGATTTCCCGGAACGTTGATGCTTCACATCAGCTATATGTTCTTTTACGCGGGTTCACAAGCAAGCTTGTACACTACTGCATCTTGTAGAGGAATATGACACTTCACAGATGGTAAAAACTGAGCCATCTTCTTCGGTGGCTTGTAGAATATTCTAATAGAAGATCGCTTCAAGATGTAGCCAATCTTGTCTGCGACACCTCTGATATATAGTAGTACAGCTTACACACGCCCGACTGTGACTGGTTTCACTCGGTCACTGCGACGCAGGCGCGGGACCCGAAGCATGATGTCGTGCAAAACCTGCTTGACGTGCTGAAGCTCGGTGGCCAGGTGTTTGCTATCACAGATCCCTCGTGTTCTCTGCAATAAAGATTTCAAAGCAGGTTTAAACCAAACCCAAGCTATACTATATATACCATAAATCATCATCATTCATCATCATTACAGCCCTTCACAAGTCCACAGCTGAACATAGACCTCCCCCAAGCAACGCCACAAAGCATGGTCCTGAGCCACCTGCATCCATCGACTTCCTGCATATCTTACCAGGTCGTCACTCCATCTAGTGGGGGGTCGCCCTACACTACGCCTACCGGTACGAGGCTGCCACTCGAAAACCTTTCTTCCCCATCGGTTATCGGGTCTTTGAGCTATATGGCCGGTCCATTGCCACTTCAGCTTACTAATCCGTTGGGCTATGTCGGTCACTCTGGTTTTACTGCGGATATCCTCATTTCTGAGTCTATCACGCAGAGAAACTCCGAGCATAGCCCTGTCCATAGCTCGCTGAGCGACCTTGAGCGTCCTCATACGGCCAGCAGTGAAGGACCACGTCTCTGATCCGTTAGTCATCACTGGCAACACGTACTGGTTGTACACTTTAGTTTTCAGAGATTGAGGTATACCTGACGAGAAGATGTGTCGTAATTTCCCGAACGCTGCCCAGCCGAGTTGAATCCGTCGATTGACCTCTCGGTCGAAGTTGGACCTACCTAGTCGGACTATTTGTCCCAGGTAAACGTAGTCGTCAACAACTTCGAGCATAGTGTTCCCAACAACTACCGGTATAGGTGTGACATGGACACTAAACATGATCTTTGTTTTGTCCATGAGGTCATTGAGCATAGTGATAAGGTCCTCCAGCGAATCTGCAATAAGGACTATATCGTCGGCAAATCGAAGGTGAGTGATGTACTCGCCATTGATGTTAATACCGTATCCTTTCCAGTCCAGTAGCTTGAAAACGTCTTCCAACGCAGCGGTGAAGAGTTTCAGGGATGTAACGTCACCCTGTCTTACACCTGTCTGCAGTTGGATAGGTTTCGAACTCTGGTTCTGTACTCGGATAGCCATCGTAGCCTACTGTACAAACACTTCACACTTGGATATCCGTCAACTTGGCACCGCTGAAGGGACTGTAGCACCGCCCAAATTTCGACGGAATCAAAGGCTTTCTCATAGTACACATACGCCAGGCAAAGTGGCAGATTGTACTCTTCGGTCTTCTGTACAATCTACCGCAGGGTATGTATGTGGTCTATGGTACTGAATCCTTTTCGGAAACCGGCTTGTTCGGGAGGCTGGAAGTCGTCGAGTCTGCGTGCGAGACGATTCGTAATGACTCTCGAAAACACGTAGACGCGGCTCAGGAGGGAAATCGGTCTGTAGTTCTTCAAGAGAGCGTTGTTGCCTTTCTTAAAGAACAAGACCACCGCACTACTGCTCCACGCCTCCGGAGTAGTGCCACCATGGAGGACGAAATTGAAGAGCTTCTGAAGAACTTCAAGTACCGATGTTCCACCCGCTTTCAGAAGCTCCGCTGTAATTCCATCCTCGCCTGGGGCCCTGCCGTTTTTAAGGTGCTGGAGAGCCATTCTAATCTCGCTCAGACTGACGTCCAGTGTATCATTGGAATAGTGTCAGGTAAGACTTGCTCTTGGATCGTTACTCACACTTGCGTGTGGCTCCAACGATATTTAACGATGTTAAATTTTCTACATTGATAGCCGTCTTTTTATATAAGTTATTTGGTTTTGCTTAATAAAAAATATTTCTGCAACAGTTGTTGCATCCTAATCTGGCTCTGAACAAAGAGAATAATGTAATTAATATGGACTCCGATAACTTCTATTACTTTTTTATAATTTATAAGGTATAGAAGGCATGATAAATTGTACCTATTATATAAATTAAAATTATTAACAAAATCTATGTTTAAAATTAAATTAATGAATTTATTCTTAATTATTTCCGTATACGGCACGAAATAGAAGAAAAAAGAAAGCAATAATATTAACAAAATATCAAAATATGTTTTATACAACATAGCATCCTTACGGTAAGTATTTTTGTGTATCTTTTTATGTGATAATTTAATAAATTGCATGTAAAGTTTAATTGAAATGTATTTTTTGTGAGGATTTTTTGTTAAAAAAATAATTTTTGTAGTGTAAAAATATGTATGAAGTGTTATAGTGTATTTGTGTAATGTAAACCGCTAGTACTATGATAAAGTAACATAAAGGAAATATTAAATAACAGTAAAATTTTAAATAAATAATAAAAATAAATGATAATTCTAGTCATTGAGTCTTCCTTAAATTTTCGAGATCGGCTTCACTGTTAATTCGTATCTGGGTGGATTTTTCATCTTTGCGTAGGTAAACAGTTCCGTTCAGAGTCCAGCAGTATATAAAACTGTGTGCCTTTTTGAATGCTCTTGCGAGTTGAAATAATTTTTGAGTCTTTTGAGTTAAAGTTTCTGATATAAACACTGGTTTCTTTGGTTGTTGCAGTTGTAGGTGAGAAGTATTTAATTTCTCGTCTCTTGATTTGTTTTTATTAAAACTTTTTACTACTATTATTAGAACTGTCCTTGGAGTTCAATCTATATATATCTTTCAATTCGGAGTCTTCTATACTAATATTAACGGCCTTTCCGGTCTTTTTAATAATGTTAAACAAAAAATCTTTTGTTTCACCCGTTGATTTAGGAATATTTCGTACTTCAATCCCCGATGCACGCATTTTACGCTCCATAGTTTCCAATCTATCCTCCATTAAAGCCATGTGCCGTTTGTCCTCTTTTTTTTCTTTTTCCAAATTAGCTATTATTGTAAGTAAATCGTCATATTTGTTAGACATATGCTCCACACTTCGTTTTAACTCATAATTTTGCTCTTTGAGGTCTACAATTGTACTTTGTAAATTATAAAAACGCGTTTCCTGTTCCTTAGAGAAATTGGTAAACATATCTTTTATCAAGGACGTGATGCTGTCATCTCCTCCAGGGTGCTTTCGTTTTTTCCTCTCACTGACAGTCGTCCTAAGAGTAGTTAAATCAGGCGCAGAATCGCTGTGATGCATAGAACTGATTTCTTTTGTTGTTAGAGTGTTAGCACTGTACTCTGCACTACTGAACGTGGGCGCTATTGGTGTGGTGAGTGGCGAGGGAGGGGGTGTACGCTTCAACGGCATTGTGATTGTGTTCAAATGAATGTACTAGGATAGCAGAATTAAACAATTAGTGACACTTTTCAAATATACAGTCAGGTAATCTGGACGTCGAGCGATGAGTTCGTACAAATTAATGTTCCGTCCACTTATGCAAGACCTCTTCATAAGCAAAGTGCTTAAAGTATATTTATCATTTTTTTTAATAGACTGGCGTGTGTTGTATTATGAAGTGCTCGTCTTCCAACTTATTGCAATATCAAACAATAAATAGTTAACTCACACATAGGTTAGACGTAGAACGGTTTGTTAACACAACTTCCTCAGCAAATTGTGCTTCTAATATTTCAAGTTTATTTGTTTAGTTATAAAATAGAGAAATTTTTATGCATTACGTACACTTAACACGTCCATTTACTTTGGAGGTGCGGGAGGAAGGGGCGAGAGGGGAAGGGCGAGCGAATCAATGATTTTCAAAAAACAATTTTGAATAACTTTTAAACAAATGTAACGATTAATTCCAAAATCTAATCAGCTCTTAAACATGGCAAACGACGTCGATTGCTGCGAACCGCTTCATTCGCAATCGAAAATAGCGGTTTCCAGGGATGTCCTGCGGGGTCAACTGTTTTTCAGATATTTTTTTATAATCTACAACACAATAAGTTAACCTAAGGTCTTAATAAAAAGCTTTCAGCGGATTGTGTGGGGTGAGCTTTATGGGAGGGTCTCCCATAAAGCTCGAGCTTATAAAATTTGGTACGTTGCGTCAAAAAAAACTAGAGAATAACTGGTTATACCAGTATCAGGAACTACGAGCCGCGAGTAAAACCGCCGTAATTACTGCAAGCTTTGTATAATATGTCGTCGTCCGATCGCAGAATTGGACGGATTGTGATGTGCCTAGGCATTTCATTGTTACAGTTCACGATTTGGCCAACGCCTTAAATTCGCCAACTAGCGTCACTTTAACCCACTACTACGTACTTTCGTGTTTTAATACAATAACAGATGTGAAAGATATAAATTACCTATCAGCCAAATCATAAAATGACACCACTAAATATCCAGGCATATTTCAATCTGACCAATCTAACGATCGGACTACGACGTATACGTAAACTGGTCATTAAGTGTAAAGTTACAAATGCGAACTATTAAATATACAACAATAAATTCAGTTTTATTAATAAATATATTTTATCACAGAATTTTTTTATTTTCGTAATTGTTTCCATACTAATATTATAAATGCGAAAGTGTGTTTGTTTGTTTGTTTATCCTTCTAACACGTCGCAACAGAGCGTCGGCAGGGCATGATTTTTTGTATGGGGATAGTTCGGTGGCTGTAGAGTGACATAGGTTACTTTTTTCCGCGGAAAAACATCTCATTCCGTGAGAAACTAGAATATGTTGCAAAAGTTTGTCCTTCTTTCACGTCGCAACAGAGCGTCGGCAGGGCATGATTTTTTGTATGGGTATAGTTCGGTGGCTGTAGAGTGACATAGGTTACTTTTTTCCGCGGAAAAACATCTCATTCCCGTGAGAAACTAGAATATGTTGCAAAAGTTTGTCCTTCTTTCACGTCGCAACAGAGCGTCGGCAGGGCATGATTTTTTGTATGGGGATAGTTCGGTGGCTGTAGAGTGACATAGGTTACTTTTTTCCGCGGAAAAACATCTCATTCCGTGAGAAACTAGAATATGTTGCAAAAGTTTGTCCTTCTTTCACGTCGCAACAGAGCGTCGGCAGGGCATGATTTTTTGTATGGGGATAGTTCGGTAGCTGTAGAGTGACATAGGTTACTTTTTTCCGCGGAAAAACATCTCGTTCCCGTGAGAAACTAGAATATGTTGCAAAAGTTTGTCCTTCTTTCACGTCGCAACAGAGCGTCGGCAGGGCATGATTTTTTGTATGAGGATAGTTCGGTGGCTGTAGAGTGACATAGGTTACTTTTTTTCCGCGGAAAAACATCTCATTCCGTGAGAAACTAGAATATGTTGCAAAAGTTTGTCCTTCTTTCACGTCGCAACAGAGCGTCGGCAGGGCATGATTTTTTGTATGGGGATAGTTCGGTAGCTGTGGAGTGACATAGGTTACTTTTTTCCGCGGAAAAACATCTCATTCCCGTGAGAAACTAGAATATGTTGCAAAAGTTTGTCCTTCTTTCACGTCGCAACAGAGCGTCGGCAGGGCATGATTTTTTGTATGGGGATAGTTCGGTGGCTGTAGAGTGACATAGGTTACTTTTTCCGAAATACATCTCATTCCCGTGGGAAAAAAGAATATGTTGCAAAAGTTTGTCCTTCTTTCACGTCGCAACAGAGCGTCGGTATGGCATGATTTTTTGTATGGGGATAGTTCGGTGGCTGTAGAGTGACATAGGTTACTTTTTCCGAAATACATCTCATTCCCGTGGGAAAATAGAATATGTTGCAAAAGTTTGTCCTTCTTTCACGTCGCAACAGAGCGTCGGCATGGCATGATTTTTTGTATGGGGATAGTTCGGTAGCTGTAGAGTGACATAGGTTACTTTTTCCGAAATACATCTCATTCCCGTGGGAAAATAGAATATGTTGCAAAAGTTTGTCCTTCTTTCACGTCGCAACAGAGCGTCGGCATGGCATGAATTTTGATATGGGGATAGTTTGGTGGCTGTAGAGTGACATAGACTTCTTTTTTCCGCGGAAAAACATCTCATTCCCGTGAGAAACTAGAAAATGTTGCAAAAGTTTGTCCTTCTTTCACGTCGCAACAGAGCGTAGGCATGGCATGAATTTTAGTATGGGGATAGTTCGGTGGCTGTAGAGTGACATAGGTTACTTTTTTCCGCGGAAAAATATCTCATTCCCGTTTCCGCGGGAAATATTCTATTTTCCCATGGGAATGAGATGTTTTTCCGCGGAAAAAGCAGCCTATGTCACTCTACAGCCTCATTCCCGTGGGAAAATAGAATATGTTGCAAAAGTTTGTCCTTCTTTCACGTCGCAACAGAGCGTCGGTATTGCGTTCATTTTGGTATGGGGATAGTTCGGTGGCTGTAGAGTGACATAGGCTACTTTTTCCGCGGAAAAACATCTCAATGGGAAAATCGAATATGTTGCAAAATTAAATTCAGCTAGGTGGCGCCACCGTGATTCTACAAGACGGCCGACGGTACGATGGACGGACACAGAAGGTCAGAATATCTGGATTATTATGTATTTTTACTAAAATTAAGATAAAAAATGTAAAATTCACCAGCTGATTTTCTTCAAACCTTTTGGTGCATTGTAATTCACAGAATAGGCGATAACCTCGCAGACGATATTAAGTAATCTGTTGATGCTCTGCCTAGGATGCCCCGCAAGGATTACAGGCGTGATTATAAGTATGGATCAGAAATACTATCACTGGGGAGGCTTCTTAGGACAATAAAAATAAAAACTTGCTGTTGTGTTGAATATATATATATATATATATATATATATATATATATATATATATATATATATATATATAATCATCCTTTCACGGTAAATGTTGATCCAGTGAGAAGTTAAAACAATTGTTGATCCACCGTATTTGACGTGTTGTGCTCAGCTCCACCATCGTCGCACAAACTGATATACTTTGATCCATTCTTGATGTGCGTGTGACGTTGGTGGATCTGCACTACAACGAGGATATTCAATATACTCTTCAGCGATTATGACCAACATTTGTTGATCTATCAACGGTCGAAAAAATCATACTGAATATGATTATTTAGATCCAGAGTATATTTAATTTATATGCGACATTTACTTAGACTAAGTGGATCCGGAGCCATAATTGACGAATAGGTACTCGAACACGAAGCGGCAACGTCGCGTTCTGTGTGTGATAGATAACCCAGTAGGCTACTTCGTTATAGTAATAAGGTAAGAAAATAAGATATCTGCTGATTTTGTGGACCAAACTTTGGCAGGTTTTATTGTGGAAAGACGTTTGTTCGAGTTTTTGTTATCGTGTGAGTAAATTTGTGTTATTTTATTCATTTGTCATAGATCAATTAGAAGATGATGGATAGTACTTTATTACAAATTATTTGTGTTGTGTGTGTGTGTGTGTGTGTGTGTGTGTGTGTGTGTGTGTGTATGTGTGTGTGTATGTGTGTGTGTGTAGGTGTGCGTATGTGAGTCTGTATTTATGTTAGTGCCCGAGAGCGCGCGTGTGTGTATGCGCGTGCGTGTGCGTGCGTGCGTGCGGTGTGTGTGCGTACGTGTGTGTTCGTCTGAGTGCGTGTTTGTGTGTGTATGTGTGTGTGTGTGTGTGCGCCCAGAAAACGGAGGTGGAGAATGGAGACATGGAGCCGGAGGTGAATGCAGCGTAGTATGTGGTGGTGGCGGAGGAGAGGAATTTGTGGTGAAGTCGGAGATAGTGGAAACGGGGAATTGTGTTGGAGGCGGAAAGAATAGTGACGGCGCGTGGTGGTGGCGGCAAAGGGAGCGGAGTTTGTTGCTGAGGCGGATGGAGCAGAGTTAATGGTGGAGGCGGAGGTAGCGGAGGTGGAGAACGAAAGCTTAGAGAGGGGTGCGGTGGTAGATGTGGAGGCGTAGGTGACAGAGGTGTTGGTAGGTGCACTAGAGTGCAGTAAAGTGGTTACCGCGTGAGGGCACGTGAGGCTCATATAAAAGACAGTTGGTTACAGCGAAAAACAGTGTGGCTGGTAAGTGCATATCGATACTGCCCCTAAAGATGTTACTACGAGTTTATTCATTTTTCCGAATATCAGCTTGGATACCTATTGGTACTAGAGACAAAGTGAAAAGAACTTTTGCTTTGTGACGGTTTCATCATAACTAACAAAACAAACCCAAACTCGGTATACCTAGTTCTACTAGTCCAGGTGTTACAGTGTTAGTTACCGAAGTACACCTTCAGGTCACTTCAGCAAGTCCGGAGGTAAGGACTCATCATAACTAACAAAACGAGCCCAAACTCGGCACACCCAGTTCTACTAGTCCAAGAGTTCCACTAGTAATCCCGAATTACATTTTGAG